TGGTCAGTTTGAGGCTTATAACTTACTTAAAACATTTCACCACTGTCGAACACGTCTATTGTTAACTTATTGGACAGCCACAGGTAAGGTCTCGTTCTGCTTGGATGACTACCTGGCACTGTTCATCAAGTTAGGCCAAAGAAAACGAGTTTTGGTTTTTATTCTGCCTTTATTAATAGTTGGAATCATCGAGAGGTGTTTTATATCGATAAATATGAACATTAACTTTGTTAAGTCTTATTTATCCGCATTGCGACATTTTTTATATATACTACGCATGCGTAAAAGTCAGTTCTACTAAATTCTTTACAATTTATTCATTTTACAACGCAACGACCACGGAAGAAGACGTACATTTTAATTTTGAAAAAAGACCCTCAGAATCGGGTGTTTTGACGATGCCATTTATCGATTACACCAAGATGCCTGAATTTAGTTCAGGTTTTTACTGTGTAATCCGGATATATATTCTGATGTTTCGGAATTTGCAAGAAACAGTTCCCGTTAAAAGGTAATTTTTGTAAAGCAATAGGATTTGAAGGATTTTACTCAAACAACTGTTTAAGCATTTTCTTTGAAATTGGGAGATTATTCCTGATGTATTTTTTAAAAATACAATTCTCTTTTGTGAGCAGGTTTCGAACTCGGAAGTATTTTACTCCAGCCACTCCTTAAAACGACAGATACTCGCTTAAACGACGCAGGACTAGTTGGACAAATGATCATTAATCACCGAACGAAATTACAGATTCCGTTGGAATTTCGTGAGCTAAATTTTGTGCTAAATGCGGAAAAATGGATATTTCAATACACAAAAAGCCAAAGGTTGTGCGTAAGAAAATACATGCTTCTCATTCATCTTTTGTGTCCGTTGGATTCTTTATATGTTCCGTGGATCAATCATTGTGAAATGAATCTATTATATAGTAATGAACGGTTAATTTAGGAAATTTATGATCGGAGCCACGTATGCGTTTACAATAATGTATCTGAGACATTCAATTCACTGGATTATCTGTGCCATTTTCAAAGGATTTTTTGTGAAATATTAACATTTAACGCTACTAATTTCCTACATTGTTCATATTAAATTGTTTAATTTGTCATTGCCTTTTAAGTGGTGTTTACTTATTTGCCTCGCCCTTTGTTCTCATTTTAACGTTACCTGTACCTGTCCAATAAGTTGAATCTTATTGGACTCCTACAGGTAACTTATTGGACGGGGTGCATGACAATAACAAATTTATTGAACCAGGTTTAACAAAAGTTGACGTCACAAAAATGTTTTAAATACATTTTATTATATAGCTAATTGATTTAAACATTCCATTCGTAATTTATTAGCATGATATATATATTTCCCTAACTGATTTACATCTTTGGTATTTGTACTACAGAATAATTGTATTAACTTGAAGACACTTGGTCTTCGGGAGTAGTAATGTTTGATGAACTTGTTTTTTAAATCGTGAAAAACTGGACAAATGAATAAAAAATGAAATTCGTCTTCAATATCATTTAAATTACACAGAACACATTTCCTATCACTCCTTATTAAGTTCTCGTATCTTCCAGTTTCAATCTTTAAATTATGTGCTGAAAGTCTAAGACATGAAATTGCTTTTCTATATTTTACATGGATGGGTTTCTTTAAATAACCTTGTAAACAAAAATAATCAACTAAATGCTTATATAACATACATTTTGGTGACTTACATATATCAGATATCGCCTTCTGTTTAAAAACGTCACACATTCTATTGTATGTTATGTCTAATAAAATGCTATCTTTTTGATTACTATGAAACAAGTCAGCTAAACCTAGAGTGTACATTTCATTTTTTATACTCATAACCCAGGGATCTTTATTCTCTACCATATCTTGATAACATGCACTCAAAATACAATTATTACTTTTTCTTAATTTTAACCAATATTTTAATATTCTGCGCTTTCTGTATATATCTAGTGGTATTCTACCTAACTCATAATAAACAGCACTATTACAGGTATTTTTTCTCACACCAAGTATTCTTTTACAAAAATTCATATGTACTCTTTCAACATCTGGACCTTTATGAAAACCAAGCTCAAAAGCCCATTTAATGATACAAAGAGCCATAGCTGCCTTACCGACGACTCGGCCTACACAAGTATTTAAAAGGAAATCACCTGTTTCTATTTATAGATACATGTACCTTTTCAAATCAAAATCAATCCACATTTGTGTAATCATTTGTGAACCAGTGTTATATTTTTATAGTTGCAAGTTTGTTGCATGACAGTAATTTTACTTGTTCAATACCCTTATTCTAAACAAGATTGTTTGAAAATTTTAAAAATAAATATTTTCAGGCTAGTTACATGACTATGACTTTGGATCATTGGATCATAAACAAAAGATAGTTATAAAGTAACACAAGCACATGTTTTTCCCCAAGAGACATTCAATGTGTAATGTTGCACTATATATCTCTTTCAAAAATTATTTATACATGTATTATAAAATAATAAAAGAAAAAAAAAATGCACACGATAAAAAAAATCGTAGTATAGAACTATGTGAAACTCGAACTCACGATCATTATTTATAATCCAGCAATCATACCACTATGCCACGAAGTCTTGGTTATCATATGGATAAAATTAAGACAGATTGTTGAATTTTGAAATAATTTTAGAAGAAAAATTAAATACATATTTTCAACATTTTCAGTATGAAGACCACCTTTAACCAAAATTATCTAAGCGTAATGAAGTGCAGTCATATCCTAATAAAATTATTCAGAAGTTGTTTTTCTGGTTAAGGGTTGTCTTTTCCTACAGTTTGTCATTGTTTAGGGGGGTACCTCAGTATTTACTATATATACTCCATATAAACTGAATGATTTTTATAAATATCATATGAAGCAACTATTAATAATTGAGTATTATTTTTGTGTGAGTTGCTTTAAGGCATGTATATACAAAAATGTATGACAAAATTTTTGTTACACAAATATTTAAAAAATCACTACTAGAGTAGGCGAAAGTGACTATCAAATGCGCTATGGCTCGTTCAGCTCCATAGCATAACACACTTTTAACATAAGTATCAAAAACATTGATCTGAGTCTCAGCATTGAAATTTAAATCTTTCATCTTACTATAAATACTAAACAATGCCTTGTTACCTTGTGTTGCACAGTGCTTCTGTGTAGATAAGAATTTACCATTATAGTTAAATGATAATCCTAAATAATTGAATTGATTTACAACTTCCACATTTTTACCATTATATGTCCATTTCTCTTCATTTCTTACATACTTTCCATTTCTAAAAACTACAATTTTCGTTTTTTGTACATTTACAGTTAAATTCCATTCTTTTGTATAGCTATACAGAGTGTTTAACATTTCTTGTAAACTTTCAACTGATTCCGCTATTAAAACTGTATCATCTGCGTACATTATTAGAAACAAATTAATCATTTGAAGTTCAACTGAAGCACAATTATTTTCAATAAAATGTCGTTCAAAATCATTTAGATGCATGGAAAATAATACAGGCGATAATATTTCCCCCTGCAAAACACCCGAAGATATACGAAATGTGTCAGTCAACGTACCTTGGTGTTTTATACAGGCTCTAACATTCTTATATAACGACTTAATAATACATAACATTTTTCCATGTATACCCTCTGTTTGTATCTTGTACCATAACTTAGATCTGTCGATTAAATCAAAAGCTTTTGAATAATCTACAAAGCAACAATATAATCTCTTTTTGTTTCTCAATGTCTTGTTAATTAAACTTTGTAAAATAAAAATAGCGTCAAGTGTACTTGCACCTGGCTTAAAACCAAATTGAGCGTCTGTATTAATATTATATTTTTGGTCCCATTCTAACAATCTATTATTCAAAATACACGTAAATAGTTTCGCTAGACAGCTAACCAAAGTTATGCCTCTGTAATTATTTGGGTCCTGTAATCCGCCCTTTTTGAAAATTGGTACAATACATCCCTTTGACCAGCTGTCTGGATACACACAGTGTTCCAGAATCAAAAATATTGTTAAATAATTTACATAGCATAGGAATCATAACTTCTTTACATTTAATAAAAAATTCATTAATTACACCATCATCTGCGTTACTCTTGTCCTCTTAATTGAGTTCGATAATTACAATGTTTATATAAGGTAGTATAGACGTTCGGGGAATAAACCGGGTAGACATGGGACAACACGTTAAATATCTCTCAAGGACATGAAACCCATAATTAGTCATATGAAAAAGAAGGCATTCCAACCTTTCCACTATAACGTCACCGTTTCCGTCGCCGGGAAGGCAACATTAATGGAAAGCGTGCTAAGATAGTGTCTATAATTTAGATACTCGTACATGTATATCGACGACATTTTATCAATTAACAATTTTCATTTTGAGTCATCCTTTGATTTTGTATTCCTTTGAGTTCTAAGTAAAAGATGCAACAGAGTTTGACGCTTGTGTGTCACAGGATGATTTATAAGAACAAGATGTTACTTATAGTAACTTAACAACAAATCTTTATGGTTAACATGATGACTTTTTTTAACTTTTTCATCGTCATCTTTCCTTACTTATGTAGCAACATACCTCGAATACCGGCAGATGGGTTTATGTTTGCCAACTGATAAGATAGATAGAGCATACATACGATATTTTAAGATGAGACAAGCTATTTACAAAGAAGTGAATAAAGCAATACATTTCAAAAGTCGCACTCATAGTTAAAACGTTTCGAAATTCTATGGTGGATACACTGACCTTGTCAACAAATAGTTTAATACCGACTGTCGTTTTTTCTAGCTGCAGAACTGTAGCTCTCAGCTTGAGAAAATTCGGACAGATAGCGCAGAGACTCGGTATTAGAAACTCGGTGACCAGAAACAGTTTAGGAGAATACGTAGTTCAACATTCAATATCATTATGTACTTCACTATTCATTAATGTCTGATTGTTTTTATTCAGTATGGCAGAAAGTTTGCCCCCTGACACGGAAGATCCTACCATGCCAAATAGCGAAGAAGAAGTTAAACATACCTTGGAATCTATCATTACTGATCAGAACTATCTTTTTGTTGTCGCTTTGGATTTTGGAACAACATATTCGGGTTATGCATTCAGTTCTAGAGATCAGTTTCGCCGAAATCCTTTGGATATTCATAGTAATCAGGACTGGGTTGCGGGTGGAACATCTTTAATATCCCTCAAAACTCCCACATCTCTTCTTATTGACAAAGATGGCAATTTCGTCGCATTTGGTTATAAAGCAGAAGATAGATTTTATTCAGAGATTGCAAAAGATCAGCGTGGAAACTTTATGATGTTCAGGAGATTCAAAATGAAATTACATAACAAGAGGGTAGGGTTTTTTTTCTTTTTTGACGGTAAAACATTCTTTAGACTAATATAATACCTTAATAATGGAGTTTGGGCTACTTTTGCAATTTTATATAAAGATTCATCTTTCAATAATTTTCTTAATGGTTGGAGCTAGAGCTGTTAAACTCAAGTTCATATTTGAATATCAACTCACCGAATGAATATTCGAATATTCCTTGACATCCTTAGTAAGTGCCAATAATCTTTATGTCAGGACCTTAAGTTTGGAGTTTTCCATGTGACTCTATCTACTTTTGAGAAAAATAATAATCTTGGCTTTCATGGCGATGGGCGTATTCTTATTAGTGACATTGACCTTTCTTTACATTCAAGTACATGTACATGTTTATAAATTATGTATCAGTATTTAAGATTTATTGACCTCAGAGTCTGTTTATCTACATGTATATATATATATATATATATATATATATATATATATATATAGAAAGCACAGAGAAATTCACTTTTACAAGGATACTCACTTCCGCCCCAGCCCGGGGTTGAACTCTCGACCTACGGAATCTGTCTCCTAGCAGTACAGGAACAGCGCGTTAGACCGCTCGGCTATCTAGGCAAGTTAAAAAACTTCCGATGCCGATGGAATTCTCACAACGCTGCCCTACACTACACGGTCATTGAGAATGGAAGTGAGATACAGTTATTTGCACATTAGTTTTTAGAGGATTGTTACCAATACATGTTGTGATGAAATTAATTTTATTTATACAGCACAAATTACAACAACTCTTAAACTAATATAACTGCCCTAAGTGAAGGAATATTAATATAGAAAGCACAGAGAAATTCACTTTTACAAGGATACTCACTTCCGCCCCAGCCCGGGGTTGAACTCTCGACCTACGGAATCTGTCTCCTAGCAGTACAGGAACAGCGCGTTAGACCGCTCGGCTATCTAGGCACGTTAAAAAACTTGCTTTCGATGCCGATGGAATTCTCACAACGCTGCCCTACACTATATATATATATATATATATATATATATATATATATATATATATATATATATATATATATATATATATATGAAAAACATTTAACCTTCGCCGTAAATTAGAGCTTTTTTTATATCTAATATACGTTGGCATTTTTGTTTCACACACATGTCTTATTTCCCGACTAAAAGGAATAAATCCTTTTCATTCAAGCACAAACAAATAGATATTAGTGGAAATTACACACATAGTTTTTTTAATATATATTTTATATCAGGATGCTAGATCAAAGAGTATAATCTTTTGAGTCGGAATGCAAAGGGAGTGAGGAATTAGCATAAATTAAAAAAAAAAAGATTTTAAAACAAAAGAAAGAATAAATAATTTATGTTAACCAGATGTCGAGATTATCAATTGAGAACAAACATATGTCTGAATTTCAAATATGTATAGTTTTGGAAATAAGTATTAGTTTGACAATATGAAATCAATGATAAATGCTTCCGTCATCACAGATATATAGGGTTACATGGGGTTTATATTCTTAAAAGAATATCCCACTCATAGCCATTGGATAAGTGTATACTATACTAAAAAAAGGTTTTATCCTAAACTCCGGATAAGTATCAGAGGCTCATGAAATGTATATCTTTGCAATACTTTCATTCTAGGGAATTAGTGACAACTTATATGTTGAGGATGTTACGGGGAAAGGATACCCAGCAAAACATGTATTTACTCTCTCAATAAAGGCATTGGTACATCATTTTAAGGAAAACATAAAAAAGAAGATCCTTAATATTGAATTGAGCGAAAAAGATCTGAGATGGGTCTTGACAGTTCCTGCCATATGGGGTGATGCTGCTAAAGAATATATGCGTCAGTGTGCAATAAAAGTAGGTGCCTGTAAAATTCATTTAATGTCATTTTTTTCTCTCAAATAGCTATTTTTAATGCATTAAAATAATCTTGGACAGGCAGGGATTCCGGACAAAATGTTAAGAATTGCTCTGGAACCAGAAGCAGCATCTATATATTGCCAATTTCTTCCCATCGAAAGGAACCCAGAAGGTTTTGGCATGACAAAGGAAGGCACCAAATATATGATTGTTGACATAGGCGGTAAGTTAAATAAAATGTTGATATCATTATGATAGACAGGCTGATTATGAATACATTCATTCATTTATTCAATCATTCAAACATTCATTCACTAGGAAAACTATAATAAATGAAATTTATTTTGATCAATTCAAAGAGTTTTGTGCAGAAAAAAAAACAATTTTGATAATAATATTCTTTTTTCATTATTAATTAAAATCTGAAGAGGATGTGTGAAAGTGTGAGAGAATTAATCTGAACAAAAATTGCATTATGGTACTTGATTTGCATCGGTATGACATAATAAAAACAAGAGGCCCACGGGCCTTATAGGTCACCTGAGTATCATGTAACAACTTTCCAGCGATTGTATTTGATTCGTGTTTTAATCCAAAAACCATGAAATTCACAAATTTTGAAAGAGGCACCATTGCTTATCAATGGGCAGATTTCAAAGCATTAATTTATTTTTAGTCAAAGTACCCCCTGGTACCCCTGACCCAGCAGCCCTGAAATTATCTATTTTGAAAGAGGCCCCTTTCTTCATTATAAGGCCAGAATTTTTTTATGTTTAGGTTTAGTTATGAACATGAGAATTAAAAAGTCCCGAAGGAGAAGGAAATAAAATTTTTTTTTGGATAAATCAATTATTAACATTTGTACATTCTTTTTTTATGCTATCCTAATAGGCTCCTTACCACTGGACACATAATGCTTTCAAATAGGAAAGTAGAACATTTAATTGCTTATTTCATCATCTGCCATTTTGGGCCAGTTATATAAATTTTGTGATGTTGATCAAAATATATTTTAAAAAATCAATTCTTTAAAAGTCTTTCAATATATCTTCATTTTTTAAATATGTGTTAGGTGAATGTGTAGACAATGTTCTAAAATTTATTTGATGCCTAAAATTATAATTCCTATCATAAAACAGACAGGGAGTATTGGGGAGTAGGGTGAACATTTTTTCAATTAAGTGTGAAATAATTTTTCTGGCTGATACAAATGATACTAAATGCCTGTATATATTTGTATATTCTTGCCTTTTAATTGTTAAATTTTTTTTTATTTCTTCAGGTTATTGTTTATTTCTTCCTCAAATGGACTTAACTTCTCCCATAGTTTTATTCATTACATCTGATGCATAAGCAACCCTTTTCTGAAGAATGATACTGTAAGCTACAACAAAGACCTAAACACTGTAGCTGGCAATATGCAATAGCTACCACGGGCAGTTTAAAACCCGGGGGAGGAAAATAATTTACAGACAGATACTTTTGAAACGAATACATAATTATCTCACCAGCATGTCATTGTGCAACAAAGTCGTCAGCATTTTATTTGTCCTTTGATCGGGTGAAACGTTTTGAATGGCACTCTTATCGATGAATTTTACACTAAACCAAGCTATCTTCTCAGACCTGTCACCTAGCTTTATTTACCCGCGGTTTCATCATAAAAGCGGAAGTGCAAATTCGTAAATTTGAAATCTCGATCCCGACTCAAATTTGACATCGGAAAGAAAAAAATTGTTGTATTTTTTTCTGAAAATTCAAAACCTTGAGCGGAGGGTTTATAAAACTGAAAATAAAATAAATCCTGGCCTTAAATATATAATTAGATCATTAGCATATTAACCAGGAGCAAAGGATAAGATGTTCAAAGAATTCATGCATTTCACTATATAATCATTAGAGCCCCACCCTAAAAAAAGAACCCCTGACCCTGGGGCCATAAAATTCACAATTTTGGTAGAGGCACTCTTGCTCATCATAACTATGTACTTAGTTAGTTTATTTAATACCCAGGAGCAGAGAAGAAGATTTTCAAAGAATTCATGTATTTTCACTATATAATCAATAGAGCCCCGCCCTAACACCAGAACCTCTGACCCTGGGGCCATAAAATTCACAATTTTGGTAGAGGCACTCTTGCTCATCATAACTATGTACTTAATTGGTTTATTTAATACCCAGGAGCAGAGAAGAAGATTTTCAAAGAAATAATGCATTTTCACTACCTAATTATTTAGCCCCGCCCTAGCACTAGAACCCCTGACCCCAGGGCCATGAATTTCACAATTTTGGTAGAGGACTCATTGCTGATTACAATCATGCAAACAGTTTGACTGCTTGACGTCCAGGAGTAAAGAAGAAGATTTTTAAAGATTGCATTAATTTTAGTGGTTTTGGCCCCACCCCTCAGGCCCCAGGGGGGCAGGGACCATGAAATTCACAATTTATGTTACCCTTCACCCATAAATGCTGTATACAAAATTTGGTTGAAATTGGTTTAGCGGTTTCAGAGAAGAAGCTGAAAATGTTCAAATGTTAACACACGACGGACGACGGACGCCGACGGACAAACACGGATGGCAATAGGTTACCTGAGTGACTCAGGTGACCTAAAAAGTTACAATGGCAACATTTACATGTATGCTGAAATCATAAACGACAATATAACTTTGTAAAGTTTATTGATGTTTTTTATCTAACTCTTTACAACTTACTTCATTATGCACCGTTTTGTAAAAGTAATCATTCAGAAGCTAGCTGAAGAAAGTGGATGCTGAATCAGAAATAAAGTAGTTAGATATTCCATCCCAAACAGAAACAGATTCAATGAAATACATAACAGATGTGAAGGTGTATAGTATTCAGTTTCTTTAGACATCATTCCCATTTTCTCATATTATTGTTAGCATGTATGGGTGGGATGTGTTGTTAGTAATCGCCTTGAATTTTGGTAAGGGTTGTCTCCCTCTGTTTAATCAATTTTAACTTAATATCTGATTAAAAAATGTTTTTAATTGTTATTTTATTTTTAATGTTTTTATGAATCTTCCCACCACAGTATTGATATTCCTTTATTTTGAATTTTAGTTTTAAAAATTGCTTGTCCCCATAGACTTCACTGCAATCTTTCTTAATTAATTACTGCTTAGTTAATTACATTTTTGAAAGTTCGTCTTAGTAAATTCTCTTCTATTAAGAAAGGCTTGTACATAGAAAATATCTTTAAAATCTCCTCAAGAAGAACTAAGCCTTTATTAATCATATTTATCCTGAAGCAGCCTTAGGTTTTGTTGAATCAAGATTGTTCAAATCATATGCAACAGTGAACAGTTCTATTCTTCAACATGTTCCATCTCTTTTCAACAAATTATACCAACACCGATATCTAATTACATTTTTAAAAATGCTATTTGTTAAAAATAAGGCTTAACAAATATGTGTCTAGTGTTGGACAAAGACAGACTGACAATAATTACAATTAGGTCAAGTACGAGGGACGTTCAATAAATAATGTCATTAGCTCGATAACATACAACATAGAAATCATATGACATTAAGCTTGACTTTCCCTCATTATTGAATCTTTAATAAATTGATAACAGTTTTTGTGACCACTTTTCATCGCATTTTTTCATTGTTGGAAGCTGGGAAATAAGAGCTATTTGAGATACTGCATTAAAAATGAATGGTCAAGAAGCAGCTGTAAAACTTGTTAATATCCCAAAATTTCAACAATCAAAATTTATATGATAAGCGTCAAAAATGGGTACCCTCCTAGGCAACAAAGACATACAACAACCAATGTATATTTGCGAAAATTCAACAAATTATCACTGATTATGTTTTATTGACTTTAAGACACATAGCAAAATTGATAAACATCATTTTGGAGGTAGTTCACACTGTTTTAAAGAAACATTTGATAGTAAAAAGTTTAATACTCGAAGGTCCCCCTTTATTTTGAAAAATGAGTGAAAACGACAGCGTGTAGGAATATCCAAACAATTGTTTTAAAAAATCAAAAATTGTACTTATCGTCGTATGTATGAATTTCTAACAGATAATGAAACTTCAATCCATTTTGCTATAAGCCCTCAAAACAAATTTACAATAATAAGATGCACTTGACAAAACATCAAAGGCCTTAGAAGAGCAAAGAATTGCAAGAGCATAAAACAATTTTATATGCTATTTTCTTAAATATTAGAGGTCTTGTTTAAATTCATGTTTGGGGAGGAAGGTCAACTTCTGGAGGTTTCTAGAAAACAATTTTTTGCAAAAAAATTTAAAGGTTTATGAAAGAAAGAAAACGGTATGAGGAATTCACTCCATTAAATTTCTTCATGGCAACATCCAAACCCACAGGCCATGAAGAGTATTAAGGAGTTTTGGGGATAAATAGAACATTAATGTTTTGTCGCACCAACAAAATTTGCCCAGATCTTTCAACCTTTGACTTGTTTCACTTCCCAAACTTAAAAGAACATCTATCAAAAAGACAAAAACAAGTACAGCAAATCATATGTAGGATCTGCCATATTCCAGTATACGAAGGGTCATACTAAAAATGTGTTCTAAAAACAATAAGAAATTGAATTAAAATGTTACAGACAAGTGTTTTAATTAAAAAGAGAATATTCTAGTTAAATCATTAAGACTAAATAATAGAAAAGCGTTTTTTATTTCTTTCCGAGCCCCATGGCATTATTTGTTGAACGTCCCTCGTAATTCGTAGAAATCTTCACAAGTAATACAAACTAAACAGGTCTTGTAAACTTTCATGCACTTGTCCATGATATAGGGCATTGATTATTAAGTGTACCACTGACCATAGTCAAGAATTATATAATCAAAAGTTATCTGTAGAGTAAAACATGATTTTAATGAACACATGATGATTTTAATACAGAATGAAAATATTCTTCATTGAGAGTGCTAAACATGCACATGTTTATATAAAACACGCTTTATACACATGTAACTGTAAAACTTCTAAGTAGAAGAAAGTTTATTTAATAAATATAAACTCTATACTAGTACCAGTACATAGAGAATATAGTTACTTGGAAATGAGACCTGCACCAAAAACTTTACCCTGCACCAAAGACTTTAACCTGCAACAAAAACTTTAATCTGCTCCAAAAACTTTAACCTGGTCATTTCTTGGCTGAAATTGCAGCATCTGGAACCTTGAATAGTACAATAAAGCACACTAGGAGCATC